TTTCCACCCCTTGGAGGGGATTCTTGATATCGCTTGTCCAATAAGTTTCTATTTTCTTTGTTTCTTTTCAATATTATTCGAACGAGGAGGATCCATTTTTATTGTTAGGTTGTATTATCTTGTAAGGAAATTTAGCAATCTTCTTTTCCCCCCCTTGGAGAAGATCCTTGATATCGCTTGTCCAATAAGTTTCTATTTTCTTTGTTTCTTTTCAATATTATTCGAACGAGGAGGATCTATTTTTATTGTTAGGTTGTATTATCTTGTAGAAAAGGAAATTTAGCAATCTTCTTTTCCACCCCTTGGAGAAGATCCTTGATATCGCTTGTCCAATAAGTTTCTATTTTCTTTGTTTTTTTGAGTAATTAATATTATTCGAACAAGGAGGATTTTTATCGTTAGGTTGTATTATCTTGTAATTTAGCAATCTTCTTTTCCACCCCTTGGAGAAGATCCTTGATATCGCTTGTCCAATAAGTTTCTATTTTCTTTGTTTTTTTGAGTAATTAATATTATTCGAACAAGGAGGATTTTTATCGTTAGGTTGTATTATCTTGTAATTTAGCAATCTTCTTTTCCACCCCTTGGAGAAGATCCTTGATATCGCTTGTCCAATAAGTTTCTATTTTCTTTGTTTTTTTGAGTAATTAATATTATTCGAACAAGGAGGATTTTTATCGTTAGGTTGTATTATCTTGTAATTTAGCAATCTTCTTTTCCACCCCTTGGAGAAGATCCTTGATATCGCTTGTCCAATAAGTTTCTATTTTCTTTGTTTTTTTGAGTAATTAATATTATTCGAACAAGGAGGATTTTTATTGTTAGGTTGTATTATCTTGTAATTTAGCAATCTTCTTTTTCACCCCTTACAGAGGATTGTTGATATCGCTTGTCCAATAAATTCGTGCCATTCTTTTCTTTTCTTTTTTGAATAATTAATATTATTTGATTGGAAAGAGGAACTCGAAGGCTGTAAAGATCCATTTTTATTGTTAGGTTGGGCTATCTTATAAGGAAATTTAGTAATTCTTTCTTTCACTTCTTCGAGGAGATTATTGCTTCTCCAATAAGTTCGTGGTTAAGAATTCTTAACGTAGATTAAGAATATTTGTTTTTTTTTTCTTTTTTTTTGAATAATTAATTTCATTAGAAGGAGAAATTTAAAGGGTGAGGATTTATTTTTATTATTGGGCTGTTGTGAAATAAAGTGAAGGATAAAAGTTTTCGTGTATTATCTTATAAGGAAATTTAGCTAATCCAAAGATTTTGGTTTTAATGAAAATTTGTGTGTATATGGAATATTTGTTTCAAAGATTGTATAAAGTGTTTCATAATAAATTAAAGTAAAATAACAATTTGATTTTAACGAATTATGTTTAACAAAATTTTAACAAAAATTCATAAAATATATGTGTAAGAAATTTTTAACGAAATATTACTTCAATACGATAGATAGAGATTAAAATTTAAAATTGAATACTTTATCTATTCTATTACAAAAAAATAAAAAATGTTTAAAATTATAAATTATTACTATAAATATTCTACATATACGCAAATTTTCATTAAAAATTAAAATCTTTGAATTATTATTAATTTCCTTATATAATATTATCTATAGGATAATTAAAATATTCAATTTTTGCCAAATTAAAGACTAATCACACCTTCATTAAATTATTCTTCCATTATTTCTGCAAAAAATACACGAATTTTTTTATCATCGATGGACAATCAAATATTCTAAATATATCAATTGTTATTTGGTTTTGCGATCATGTTAACTCATCGATTCGAAATGGACTCGATTGACGAATGTAGCGTAACACGTCGTCAGATATAATTATCAGTGGTGTATATTCAAATAAACAAGGAATTGGAACGTAATTACGAAATCCAATTAACTTTGATCGTGATTCCGTTATATAGGATCGAATCGTCACTGTTATCCAGCATAATAAGCAGCTAACTGTTTAAATGGTGTATTAACTCTGTCTCGAAATTCGACTGTGTAACGACCGAATAATTTTAACCAGATGAAAAATGTGTAATGGAAATGTTTTACGTATTTTTTTTCTTCTTTTTTCTTTTTTTTTTTTTGAATTAATCCTTTAAAGGATTACTTAATTTCATTTAATTAAATTTATTAATTAAAATTTTATTAATATGATCGTCAAAAATGTTAATAATGAAAGAGTGATCAGTTACGAATATTTTTCATAAATTTATTATATTTCGTGCTAAAGATCCATTTCGTAAAATTTTTATCGAAAACATTAAAAAATGAACATGCAACATTTTTACACTAATATTTATCGATATATCATTTAATTTAACCGAAACATAAAACACGACGAAAGAGCACTTAATTGACAAAGAAAGATGTGAATAAATACTTTTTGCAACTGTTGCTTCCTTTTTCTCGATACGAAAGCAGAGGGAAAGAAAGCGGAGGGAAGTTTCTAATTTTCTCGACACTTTAGAAGCAATGTACCTACCACCATCTCGTACATCGCGTCCACGATATTGTACATTTCCTCCCTTGTGATGAAACCATCGTTATCCACGTCATAGAGTCGAAACGCCCCTGAAAGTAAAAAAGAAGGAAGAGTCTTTATTATTACCGCTATAACTATTTCCTTAACGTGGACACAATATTTCACAATGTGATTCGAAGTAAAAATATTAGGTCGTTCTCTTTTATTTTATTCTTCATCGACATATACAAATTTTCAAAAAACGTAAGTTCTTTTCTCTTAATAATAATGGAAAATTATTAAAACACTTAGGTTTCAAGAGTGATAAGAAGGTGGTTTTGAATGAATGATATTAATAAAAGCCACTTGAAATATTTTTTTTGACTAAGTCAAAATCATTTTAAAAAATGAAATAGCGAAAGTTACGGGAAAATAAAATTCCGACGTGCACAGAAATACACGTGTGTATAAATACTTTAGAAATATACGTATCTATGCACATTCTATATTTGGCAATGAGTATTGTACACGTGTACATATACTTCTAAATTTTTTATTACTATTGTACACGTACATAGATATACGTGTGAAATAATCAAAATTTTATGAACAATAAGATAAATCAATAAAAATACTGAAATACTAAAATTTTCGAAATTTATAATAACATTTGACAAAACGCGTTTAAAAAGGCCACTCGTTATTTTGTTTTGTTGAATATACGTATATACAGATCTTACATCACTCGAAACCTCAGGAACATTAGTTAATTTGAAGCTTTTTCCATTATTATTATTATTATTATTATTTCGTTAATTTTTCAAATTGATAATTTATTCTCTAACGCGAAATTCATTCAAAAACTGTCACCAGTCACTACTCGTTTCGTTCCGTTAAACGTGTCATACACACAACTGGAAATCTTGGAAACATTTGTCTCGCTTAATTTCAGGCTTTCTATTTATATATTCGTCAAGTTGTCAGAAGGAGAAGGTTTTACTCACAGTGAAGTTTCTCGTCCAAGTTTCCGCGCGACGTCACCGAGAGCGCCCTTATGAACTCTTCGAATTCTATCGTGCCGTCCTGAGAACAAAAAAGAAAAAAAAAAAAAAAGAAGGATATTCGCTCGTGGAGATTGCGTTCCCGTCGAAACCAGAAATTTAGTTCAATTTTCAACCGTGGAACAAATTTCGCGATGAATTTATCACGAGGAATAAAATTATCCGGATAATCGATCACTCTTCGAATCACACGGATCGTTTAACCTTTTATGAAGAC